TTCAGTTGTGGCGGATCAGCCCCACGATGCATTGTATCCGGAGGAAGCCAGGGGACATCCTGACCCCCTGGCAAAGGGCTGATAAGCACCGAGGAGCAAACTGCTCACAGCAAGCTCGTCTTTTTTTAGCTCTACTCTTGGAGTTGCTGTGTTATGGTCTGAGGATGCAAATGCCTCTTTTGCTAGGGGAGAAATGTTGGATGTTAGCTCCAAATGTTAAGATGGAAAATGGGGTCACACCTCCTAGAGCAGCAAGGTTAGAGGTACAGAGGGGGTTATTCCTTAGAATCACAGAATGGTTTGGGTTGGAAGGGACCTAAAAGATCATTGAGTTCCAACCCCCTTCCATGGGCAGGGACACCCCAGGGTGCCCAAAGCCTCATCCAGCCTGGCCTTGAACCCCTCCAGGGATGGGGCATCCTGTCCAGGCTTTGGTGGCAGTAGCTCCGAGGGAAATCCTCACCTGAGGACTGTCTGGAAGCTTGATCCTTCCAGGAGGGAGAGGTTTGGTGCCATCAGCTGGGAGGGAAATGAAATCCAGGGAGTGATTTGAATTTCTCCTTCTGCTGCAGCCCCTGGTGAAGCAAGACAGTCTGGATATCTACAACGAGAGAGACCCCTTCAAGAATGATGAAGCAGGAGTCGACGAAGAGGAGAACGATGATGTGGACAGTGGGATAGAGGGAGAACTGGACCTGATGGAGCGGGACGCGATGATCCCCCCTATGCCTGCTCAGCGTCCGCCTTTTAGTGTCTTTCCCCAAAGGGCTCCCCTGGGCCCCCAAAGTCAGGTAAAACCAGCTGGTTCTATTGCCATTCTCCCCAGTCCTAGAAACCACTTGTCTTGGAGTTCATCGTAGGCTGAACATCACTCTGTGGCAAATTTCTTGGCCGCTGGCAAGTTGTGTTGAAGTTGACTCTGCTTCTTTTTTTTTTGTGTTGGTTGGTCCTTTCTGGACCAGGTTTATCTGAGCCCTTCCCCAAGCTTTACAAAGCAAGTGTGGCCAAGCCTGGCCAGTAAGAGGCAATCCCGTTTTGGAAATCCCAGGTTGTACTGGGGAGGAGACTTGTGCTGGAGAGCTGTGGTCTGGGGGCAGGGTTGGCCTTCCCAGCCGGCACCAATGGATCTCTGCAGGGCAAGGTCCTAGACTAACCATCTTGGGAACTGGTTAAAGTCGTCACCTCTTGCTTGAGTGGGACTCTTGTGTTGCCAAATGAAGCCTTCTTGGGTGGCCTTGCTGTAAGGGGAGAAATGGGAGAAAAACATCGGAGGATAAAGAAGTTGGTGCCTTCCCTTCCTAAGACCAGTTCTGCCACACATGATATGGGGGAGGGTTAGGAAAAGAGGGTGAAATCCTCTGTCCCCTTCCCTCTAATCCATGTGAGGTTTTGCTGTTGATCCGAAGCCTGGATTTAATCCAGTATATTTTAAGCACAGGAGCAAATACATCTTTTCGATGTAGGAGCAGTGACAGGGTTAAGTGTGTCTATCCAGAGCGCTCCTCGCAGGGACACAGCAAGAACTGGTTTCCCACATGGGTGTCCGCACACATGGTGCCATCGTACCCTGCATAACTTAATGTGTTCAGCTTCAAAATCAGCCGTTGTTTTTCTTGGCTGGTGCCTGGAAATCCAGCTGGGTTTCTTTCTGCCTGCGAGAGCCTTGGCTGGTGGTTCATGTCCTACTTGTAGCGCTGAGACTGTGACCAGTTCTCAGGAAAGATGCCCAAGGTGGACAAGATGTCAGCTTGCTCTCTCGGAGCAGCACATGCTTTGCCAGACTGCAGAGACAGCATTTGTTCACTCAAAACAAGCAGATGCTACTTGGGGCTGCATGTGCTAGGAGCACAGAAGGTGGATAAAAAGGTACTGCTGGTTGTAGAGAACTCTTCTCTGTTTATTTGCACACTCCCATGGAGTTGCAGAGCAAATACAAATGGTTTTGGTTGACGTTGCTCCCAACCAAGAGCAATGGTGGCTCTAGGCTGTGGCTATTAAGACCTCTAGAGATGAATTCTGGAAAGCTCAAAGTTTCTTGCTGGTCCCACACTGGTTCTCTCTGGGCGATGCAGGCTGTGAACTGGTACGTGTCTGTTTTCCAACCCTCTCCTTGTTTCTGTTTCTCTGCTGCTCCATCAGACAGAAAGACATTGAGCATTTCCTGGAAGCAAGCAGGAACAAATTCATCGGATTCACGCTGGGACAGTGAGTCTTACGTGTGTAGGTCCAACAAAGTTTGTCTCATATCTCCCATCAGTGCAATTTAACTGGTGGGAGGTGTCCACAGGGCTTGGGTTTTCTCAACTCAACAAAGGCATGCTTGGGACCATGCAGGGCAGCGCTGGGCTTCACTGGGGCTGCAGCAATGCTCTCGGTGTTATATTCTTGGAGATGCTGGTCTCTGAGGACCTCTTTCTATTAAAAATCAGATGTAGCCCACAATAAGTGACCCCTGGCCCAAACCAGAGACTGGTTTGATGCGAGAGGGAGGTGGGACAATCTGGTATCCATAGCAAATCGTGAATAAATCAAGCTGCGGGTGCAGAGTCATCCTGGCACGGGCCCAGCAGGGTATATTTGTTTTTTAGGTGTGGTGCTGGGCTCAAGCTGGCTCCATGCAGAGACCTGATTTCACGCCAGTTCCTCACCCTGACGTCAGCCCTCTCTTGTGCAGTCTTTGGTGGGGAGGAGGTGGGAGGGTGGGCAGCTCATATCAACACCTCTCCCAATTCCTGACCCGTCTGGGATGCGTTCAGTAGATTCAGTAGACTACAGGCTTCCTCTTTTACCTTATATGACACATGTTTAAACCCAGATGATCTTCCCAGCCTCATACTTACCTTCTTTCATCCTCCACAGAGACACCGAAACCCTGATAGGGCTGCCACGGCCCATCCACGAAAGCGTGAAGACGCTGAAGCAGGTGAGATGGTGGCTCCATGTGCGGTGCTTGGGTGCAGCAGTCCAGAAAGCCCTGCTGAGCGGCAATCTGCTTTTCTAACCTCATTCCTGGCACTCAGCAGGTGCTCTGAGGTGGGATTGGACCCGTGGGGATGTCATGGAAGTGGGGAATCATTGGCCAAGGTCGCCAGGGCCATAGGGAGGTTGCAGGGCATCAAGTCTCATACACATCAACATTGTAATGAAGCATTATAATGAGTTTAAAGTTCCTCAGGTGTATTCTTTCAGCCCACAGGAAATGTTTCACGTGAGTTTAGTCTTCTGCTCCTCTGTTTGATCTCAGCTCTTGCTCTCTCTGCCCGGTGAGGTCAATCCCATGGTCTGAACAGCTTGAGAGGGGCTGGATATCTCCCACATGCAGTGTGGGATCCTCACGTCTGACCTCTGTCTGAAACACTGTTCTTGGAGGGAGTGAGAGGGTCCCTTCTTGGTAGTTGTCACAGGAAAGGCCTCTGGAGGTTCTTGCAGGAATTGAGGCAAAAAATCATAGAATCGCAGAATGGTTTGGGTTGGAAGGGGCCTTAGAGATCATCCAGTTCCAACCCCTCTTCCATGGGCAGGGACACCTCCCACTAGCCCAGGTTGCTCAAAGATGAGTCCTCCAGGTATCTCCTAATACTCGGATATTACTGAAATCAGCCAATGTTGTCATCACTGATGGTTTCATCCTTCAGTTGTGACACTGCTCTGCTTCTTTCTGTGTATTTTGCCAGCACAAGTATGTTTCCATCTCAGACATCCAGATCAAAAACGAGGAGGAACTGGAGAAGTGCCCCATGTCTCTGGTAAGAAGTTGCTGCTCCCCATCACTAGATAGATTGGTAGATTTCCAAAGTGTCCTAGAAATCCATATGTTCTCCATGATCCTTAGGACACACCTTGGATGCTTTTTTTTTCTAGAAGTCCATATCTTGACCAAATGCAGTAGAAAAAGCCCTGGAGGTTCCTGCAGTCAGTGTGCAGCTATGATGTCCATCGTTAAGTCCTCAAGCTGGGTTTTGTGGAGGTCACTGACATATCTCAAGTGTGTGGACTGGAAATACTTAATTTTCCCTTGTTTTTAATGTTTCTCTGTGCTAGGGGGAAGAGGAAGTCCCAGAAACCCCTTGTGAGATCTTGTATCGAGCAATGTTGTACAATCTCCCCCAGTATATGGTAAGCCCGTCTTTCTTAAGAGCTTTTGAGTGGGGAATGGTGCCCATCTGTGAGCTGCAGAGCTCAGCATGGGGTTGCTGGGGTGTGTTCAGGACTTGAATGGGGAGATTTTGGTGGGAATCCAGAGCAGAGCTGGGTAGAGGGTACAGTCCAAGAGGAGGGATTCAGAAGATCAAGGGGTGCAGATGCCCAGGGGCACAGTCAAACGGCTCAGCAAACAAGGTGGTAATGCCTTCGGGTCTCTGCCAGCCTGGCTGAGCTCTCAAGAGTTCTTCAAACTGTGGAAAGGCTGTAGGTTGTGACCTTCTGTACAGGGACATCCCTTGCAGCCTTCCCATGGCCCCAGGAGATTCCCAGAGTAAACACAGACTGGTTTGGGTTGGAAGGGACCCTAAAGCCCACCCAGTGCCACCCCCTGCCATGGGCAGGGACACCTCCCACTAGCCCAGGTTGCCCAAAGCCTCATCCAGCCTGGCCTTGAACCCCTCCAGGGATGGGGCATCCACAGCTTCTCTGGGCACCCTGGGCCACTGCCTCACCCCCCGCACAGGAAAACATTTCTTCCCAAGATCTCATCTCCATCTCCCCTCTTCCAGCTCAAACCCGTTCCCCTCGTCCTGTCCCTGCACCCCCTGATCCAGAGCCCCCCCAGCTCTCCTGTAGCCCCCGTTAGGTACTGGAAGGCTGCTATGAATACGAGTGTCATGAAATTAAGCTAAATTAAGCTGCTAATTGGGTCACATGTACTATGTCCGTAGGGAGAGACAACCCCAGATTTAACAGCATTAAGCTCCTGCTGTACCTTGCATTATTTTATCTGTGCTACTCGAGCTCAGGTGCTCATGATGCCTTAAGTTAATGCTAAGCCAGAGCTGCCGTGCTCCCCACACCTGGTCTGTCTGTCCGGGATATAGAAGGAGAGGTTGAGCCTTGGCGTAGGCAGTGAGCAGAGCCTGGGCTGGTGAAACCCAATAAACTTGGCTTGAAGTTGTCCATTTTCAGCACGTGCAGGAGAAGGAAGGAGTTCCCCCTCCTGGGAGCATCCCTCCACGCCTGTCCTCCCCTGCAGATAGCTTTGCTGAAGATCCTCCTCGCTGCAGCGCCCACCTCCAAAGCCAAGACCGACTCCATCAATATCCTGGCAGACGTGCTGCCCGAAGAGATGCCGTAAGTCCCTGACAAGGTGTCCACTAGCCATCCCAGCTTTGCCACAAATTCTTGGACCGAACAGGAGAGTTGGGATTTGGTGAGAGGTTTGGGGGACTCCAGATTTGGGTATGTCTCTTTGGATAGGTGCAAGGTACTGCTGCAACCAGGGCAGAGGGGTGAAAGCCAAGGAAGTGATGCCGGTTTTTCAGGAGCGTAATGATTTGAACACGGTTGGCAGGCGCTGTGCTCTGCTAGCTGACAAAAATCATCAAATCCCACTAATTGACACAAATCATAAAGATCTGTGAGCATATGGCAGGTGTCCTTCACACCGCTCCCCCAGGATTGCTGGCGGAGGGCAATCAGCTTTTATTTTTTTCTTTTTTTTAATGCACTTTGGTGTCACAAAGGCAGGAGAGGATGGAAATGGGAGTCCCAGGGGGAAGTGAGGGTCCCTGTTTCTCTGGAGCCTGTCCAGATGAATATGAACTCAACAGTCCCTCAGTCCTGCTTGCTCCCATACCCACTGTGCTGTTGCCTTTTTTCCCTCCAACGCAGCATCACCGTTCTTCAGAGCATGAAGCTGGGGATCGACGTGAACAGGCACAAGGAGATCATCGTGAAGAGCATCTCGGCTTTGCTGCTGCTGCTCCTCAAGCACTTCAAGCTGAACCACATCTACCAGGTGAGCACAGAGAAGGGGTCGGCCAGCGCCAGGCTGGTCTTGAAGGTGGTGTGTCCTTATGGACCCTCTCCAGGAAGGGTTCCATGAGGAGCTGCAGATCGCTTTTCCGCAGCGGTGAACACTTGCCCCAGGCTGGGATTTGTCTAGGGTTACTCAGGCAGGGATAACCTGCCTGCAATATATCTCTGGCTGTGTTTTGACAGGATTGTTTCCACTCCCGTGGAAAGAGTTTTCAGACTTCTGGAAAAATTCATGCTGTGGCTGATCAGGTTAAAATCATGAGTATGAGCCTTCCTGGCAGAAGGGGGAAGGGGATGGGGGTTAGACAAGACCCTCTTTTGCTCTGTCTCATCTCCAAGGGCCAGAAATAGTGCTGGGTAGGACCTCTTGAGGTCGGCTAATCTAGTTCTCCGTCCCTCGGCAGGATCAAGTTCTTGGGGCTCCAGTTTCAACACAGCCTGGAGGTCTGGGTCCTAGATGCAATCTGATTTTTGTTTCATCTGCATGGCACCAGTTGAACTGGGCCCACGTGAGGGCTTTCCTTGATTAAAGAAACCCCAGGGACTGATTTAGGCTGTGGCCTGGGCCCAGTTCTCCACCCATTCTGCAAGTCAAACAATTAGTGTTTTGTAATTTTTTTTTCTTTTAAAGGCTTCAGCATGGTACAAATCCAGCTGTGTTATGAAGCCCCCTGATATTTATCTGAGGATAAATATAAATCCATGTAGTGGATTGGATAAAATGGAAAAAGAAAAAAAAAAAAACCACAACAAACCACATTTTTACAATCCTCCATTTGCTTCGGGTCCCCCCACGTCCCTTCACTATTTTTTCTCCCTTCACCCCCAAAACAGTTCCTCTCATTTCCTCCTCCATGGCACAAGGACCCTTGTGCTAAGTCTGGAAAAACCTGTAGAGTTTTCTCCTGATTCTGCTTTTGTGTCTGATTTTGGGTGAGCCATCATGATTTCTTTCGGTGCTGAAGCAGGTCTCAAGGAGCACCCCAAAAGCCGCTGCGGGGGCTGAGCTGATGCTTTGAGCATCGATGGAGGTAGTGGAGAGCGTGGCTGGTCCGGGCTCTGCTGGGGTCACCCTGTGCCAGCTGCTGCGTCAATGCGGCAGCAATTGCACAGACCTGCACGCCAACACACAGCATGGGTTTTTTTGTCTCGGTTCTGTCGAGATTTGGTGGTTTTTATGCCAACAGAGAAACGCCATCACATTATTGCAGTTCAGCACATTAGAATTATCTTCAGTCTGATGCTACATAACATACTAAGGTGCTGGCAGCTGCATTTCCAAGCAGTGAGAGCATCTCCGATCCCAGCTAGCAGGGACTGCTGATTTCTCACTCACAAATAATGGTGGCGATGTGTCGTCGGTGGCATGTACCGAGTGTCGACAGCTTGTACCAGGCTGAGATGAGACATAGGAACAAACTGTTTCTTCGCTCTCAGATTTGGGATGTTGATTGCAGGTTAGTGAGAGGCACGGTCGGGATGGGATAGGATGGGACATGGCTGCTGTTTGTGTCTGTCTCTTTAGAGGACAGAAGAGATTTGTTGTATTATGCAGCTCTACATCCTCAGATCATTTAATGCTTAGAGAGGGAAAGAAATTAAAAGCATATATGAAGGTAAGGGTACTTTTTTCAGACAAAATTTGAAAATCAGCATATGACAGCAATAGGAATTATTGTATTTTCTCATGTAATAGCTACGTCTCCTCCTTCCCTCTTCCCCCTATACTGTTTTGCCACAGATTTTATTTGGAAAAGCTCCACTGCAGCTATTCCTAAACTACTGCCATAAAGTTTGTGTGTCCACTCTATGGCAAACAATTTTCCAGCCGGTGGGAGCTGCTGTATACGATGCAAGCCGTATACAGCAGACTTCTGCAAGGGGAAGATGGTTTGCAAGGCGTCTGTAGCAAACCAACGAGACTGCTTTGCTTTCGGCTGGAAATGGGCTTCCCTTCCCGGGTGATGCTCCCAGTTGTTCCAGCTAACGTTGACCCATTTCACTTCTCTCCCTCAGTTTGAGTACGTGTCCCAGCATTTGGTGTTTGCCAACTGCATCCCGCTGATCCTGAAGTTCTTCAACCAAAACATCATGTCTTATATCACTGCCAAAAACAGGTACAGCCACTTCTGGGGAACAGAGAGGTGACAGCGCAGGGAGGCTTTGTGCATGAGGAACCTGAGACGTGGTGGGACCGAGCGACCTCTGGTCCCAAGCAGAGCTTTGGGGCAGTTTGTTCTCCACTACAGGGATACGCTGGAGGAGGGCAAATCCCTTCTGCTGAATTATGAAGACTGGACAGGGAGTTTCCAATTTCTCACTGGACTATGAAAATACACATAGACCCCTTTCCCCTGCTGACAGTAGGGATATTCTCATCTTTACGTGGACTCCTGGAAAGCAGGCCAGTGCCACCAGGCATCTGTGGGCCACAGCTTCAAAAAGGAGAGATGGGGTAGAGTCTTTTAGTTTTTTTCCGCTTTTTATACTTTTTATAGCTGTAATTCAGCTGCCCTGACGTCTTCAGGTTTTGCATAGTTGTCATTGCCTTTTACTTCTGATTTGAGAATGACGCTAGCCCCATTTTGAGTCTGTGTCGGGACTGGCTGGACTACCGCAAGTCAGCGTAAAGAACTGAAAGTGAACAACTCTTTCGCAGCTCACCAGGAGTAGGCAGGATTTCCCCATTTGGAGGGGAGCGCTACAGGGGATGTTGCTGTTGGAAGGATGAAAAGATCCCTTTTCTTCCTTTTTGATGCTCTTTTTTCTTGCTCTTCAGCTGTGCGAGTAGGCTGGTCTGCCTCCTGCATGGTGTGGTTGTGTCTGTGTGAGAAGGCATGCCTGGAAAAATAGAAAGTAAGATATTAATTCTCTCACCCAGAGATTTGTCAGATAGTGGCAAACAATGTTGGGCACTGCCCTGCAAAAAGGATTGTGGGATTTTGTCACGTTCAGGTGCATAGACCCAAGTCCATGCTGCAGTGGGAAATATCAGATGTGATGCCAGTACAGATGAGCCGTGGGGCCCCTGGTCCTGAGCTGTCTCTCTCTGAGCTCTCCTGCTTCTATCTGCACAGTGCTTCCAGTTTTAGGGTTATGGTGGGTAGGAGCCAGCATCTGTCATTGTGGTCGGACAAGCCCTTCCTGTGCCAAACGCTTTAAACGAAGCCTGGTTTAGGGGATCTCCCAGCCTTGGCTCTTCATCCTGGCTTGCCTGTGACTCAGTGATTATCACAAGTCAGCTTGTTGCTCAGCTGCTGAATTTAAAAATAAAAAAATAGTGAACAAGAGGGAACACAAGAACTGAAACTGTGCGGTAGCGCACGCTTCCTTTTAAATCGGTGCACCTCAAAGGGCGTGGATAGCATCAGTGTGTGGGTATATATGCATACACACTTTATATATACATGTGTACTTCTCTTTTTTTTAATTGGCTACTTTTACAAAATCAATAGGCCTGGGGGGCTTGGAAAGTCCTGATGCCCTCATTGTGAATTTTTTTGCTGGTCTCCATTTTAACTTAAAGATCTGGTGGTGGTTTTTTTTTGTTTTTTCCTTTTTAAAAATATGTATATGGATAACTAATCCATCATGTCCTAATGGATCCAAACCCTTTGAGTCCTTATTAATGCAGTCAGGATGTGTTTTGGGGCCAAGAGGTATTGACGTGCTCCATTAAGCCGAGACACAAGGCAGCGGTGAGGCCGGGAGCCCATTTGGATGCCTTTGGTGCCGTTTGAAATGCAGGAGGGAGGCACGTCCACGCGGCTCTGGCTGCGGGCTGGTCCACGTGCCCAACGTGGAGATGGGATTGCTGCCCATCCAAACTACCTGCTGCATGAGGCAGCGCTGCTGTTGCAATTCAAACCCCAAGCATGGGGAAAATGTTGCAGGTTTCTGGGTATAATCACATAGATCATCTTAAAAAGTTTCTTTTGGATCCTGGTTTTTAACGAGTCCCTTCTTCCCTGTCTTCCACAGCATCTCCATCCTGGATTATCCATACTGCACAGTCTGTGATTTGCCCGAGCTCACAGCAGAAAGCCTGGTAAGCAGAAAGGGTCCTTGTAACCAGTATTGCTCTAAGCAAGACCGTGAGGAAGGATTTTTGTTTTCTTTTTTTCTGTCTTTTTTTTTTCTGTACCAGAAACCTTTTCAAAATTAGACTATTTTTTCCCCCTGCAGAGCTGAAAATTCCTCCGATCACTATCCTGACTCGTTATCAGCTATGGGGAGGAGTGAAGGAAGCACATTATAAACCGCATAAAAATAGTTAGGTTTAGAGTTTTCCCTTTCACTTCGCCTGCTTTTAAAAAGGATTTGCCTGGAGGCTGTTTGCCTCCCCGGTTTTAATTGCTCTGAGTGCTCACATTTTGTAAGATGCCAGTAGATGGAGGAATGAACCAAATTCCCTACGGAGAGGAGATGTAAGCCAGCGCGATGGGCTGTGTGAGCATACGGACTACAGATGAGACATTAACGCTGGCAGGTTTGTACCTGCAATAATTCAAACTCAGAGTTTGAATCAGGCAGGGTGCAGGGCAGGGGCAAGCTTTGGGGTTCATAGGGAGGCGGCTCAGAGGAAAGGAAGACCCTAAATAATGCAGGAATCATTAAAAAGGAGCCTGACCACAACCAGTCCAGGCAGGGATGCTCTCATGTTGCCTGGCTGCTAAAATCTTAAGCATATCGCATTTTCCTTCACTTTGTAAAGGTTAAAATCATTAAAGTGAAAGATTTTCCTTAGTTTCTATGAACCAAAGTTGCTCACGAATCCCTCCAGGGTTGCGGTCAGCCAGGACAGCAAAACTGGTTTTATTGCTGCTGTAGCCACAGCATTTCTGATCTGCCGCTGCGATGCAAATTCCTGACATGAGTTGATTATGCCAGATCAGATTTATATTAAAACCCACTGTGGAGCGTGTGTGGGTGGCTGTGGGATCATCACACATGGGTGGTGTGCTGGCTCTGTCCTCTGCCACTGTCCCGCGTGCCTTCCCACCAGCGCTTCTTGCCTCCTTTTCGGTGCCTGCGCAGGGTGACGGCTCCTGGACGTCGCCTCCTTCCTTACAAACGGGCTCGAAGCCGTGTTTTGTGCTGGTCCACGGGCTGCTTGCCAAAGGCTGGGTGTCCTGGCCAGGTTGGGTGGCCGTCCAGCCCTGCCAGGCTCCCACAGACTGCATCGTGGCCCGATGGGGACATCTAGTGACACATCGCTGAGTGCTCTGGTTGCTCATGCTAATCCTTACGCTCGCCCTAAGCTTTATGGCTGTAGAAGACTGAACTTTTTTAGGGAAAATCTTCCCAGTAGGGTCTGCTCTCCAGTCTGGGAGTGGTTGCATTAAACGACAGTGCCTCATCACTTTTTTTTCCAGCAGACATGGATGTTAGCCTCATGGGAGACTAATTTAATTAGAAAATATGCAGAAACCAACTTGAATTTTACCATGTGTGTTCATCTTCTGGAGGATACCCGTGAATGTGAGGATTTAATAAGAATTAAACATGCCCTGGTACTTCAGAGGCATAAATTTTTGCACGTTTCTTCAGCTAACATTTTGTGTGTTTAGGGTTTGGTTTTTGTTTTTTTTTTCCAGTACTCCAATGCACTGATTTTAACATCCGAGCCATAGCACATTTCTTAGCAGATATAACAGATGATTATGATTTTGGTGGGTTGAACGCAGGAGAGCGTTTGGTTTACTTCCATGGAAAACCAGGACGAGTTTGCTGTTTCCAGAGGAGGGATCCTTTGGCTCTTCCCAAATGGTGTAAAATCATCCCGGCGAGGTGGCGGGGGCTTCACCCGTTCTACTGGCTCTTTGATTCCTTGCCGGTCCCCATCTCCCCTCTCCTGTCACGGGGCTGTCACTCCCCTGCAGCTCCCTGTGTTTGGGGAGGGGGCTGCAGAGGACCCTGCTGCACCGTGTCACGGTGCCATGGGGAGGAGAACAGGAGACGGGGGTAAAAGGGGATTGAAGTCTGTTTACCCTGCTCCCTCCTTCTGTAAATCTGCTGGAAAGACTCTCACTTACTTGAAGCTATAGAGACATCATCAGATTGGTGACAAAAATAAATCCAGCCATGTATGAAATGGGTATTAGCTTATTCTGATGGGGTCTTTTTGGAAAAATGACTTGGTGCAGAGGGAGTAGATTGGGACTGGGCACCGGTAGGAAACTGCACAGACGCTGCTCCTGAGTCAGGACCCCCACGCAGCATCCGCGAGCACCTCGGTGACATCTCGGTGACATTCCGCCGCTGCGCTCTGCTGTACAAGCTGCACTGCGTGGGCAGGAGCCTCCAGCACAGGCGTAGCCTCTACTGGCAGGAAAGTGCATTTGCTCAGAGTGGCTTTTACCAAATCCCAGAATTAAATTTAAAAAGTCAGAAGCACTTTCTTTTGGGCTCTAAAAATGTTATGTACAATAGCATTTTACCAGCTTACTGAAATTGTAGGTTTGGTGCTTGCTTTTAAGAACAAAAGTATTTTGCTGACGAGATTTTCTTGGATAAATGTAGTTTTGAAGCTGGATTAGACACTGACAGAAGGGGCTCATCCCCAAACTCACCTCCTAGGCGTGCCCAGAACCTGGATCGAGCACCAAGCTGCAGTTTTTGCCATGAGTTGTTCAGGCTGTAGCTTGCTGTAAGTGGTTTATACGGGAAGCAGCACTTATTTCCACTCTCATCCCCAAACAGGTTATTTGTGGGACACTTCTGTTGTGCTCAGTCTGTTCAAACATAAAGCAAGTTCCTGCAGTGGTGGAACTACTGCTCAGATGTGCCATGGGCAATATTTATGCAAGCTGGAGCAGGGGGTGCTTCCATTTAGCTAATATTTAAAATAATCTATCAGCTGTGCTTAAGTTGGAGGGGATCTGTGTTACAGAAAAGTCATGTCCTCCTGGTAGAAATGCTGCTGTTTGTCATCCTGCGTTGTTGTGTGATTTCCTTTTATTTGTCTGTAATATGTCCTCTAAGCATGCGGTAATTTATGAATTAATTTATATAATGAAGAAAATATTCTCTAAGCAGTGGTGATCACTAGGCTGTAATTTGCTCTCTGACTGTAAACAACAAATACAAATCTACCCCAACATGCATTTCCCATGACGGAATAATGTGATTTATCTTAGCTCTGACTTTAAAACAAAATGCAAATTAAAATGCTGATTAAATCTGAGTCTTTCAGAACAGTTTTCCCCAGAATCTGTTGGTTTGCCAGCAGCATGATGATACCCAAGTGAGGAGGCAGCTCCGCTACTCACTCTCCATCGGAAATAAGACTTGTGCAGATAGTAAAAAATCCAGATTTTCTGCACAGGGATGTCTCGGTGGCGGTGCTGTTGAATGCTGCAGTTAGGGTTGTGCTTTCCTTTGCAGGAAGCCGGAGACAACAACCAATTCTGCTGGAGAAATTTATTCTCCTGCATTAACCTGCTAAGGATCCTCAACAAGCTGACCAAGTGGAAACACTCGAGGACAATGGTAAGGCGATGTTCCATCCCCCTGTGGGTTGTCAGCGTTGCACCTCGAGCGTGTCCCCAGCTCGACACCGCTTCAGCCAGGCAGAGAGTTTCTTCTGGCAGCGCTGGGGCTTCTGCTGCTTCATAAACTGTCCATTTTCCTTTCACAGATTGAGCCTTAAATGCAGAAATACTATTTTTTTTTCTGTAAATAATACTTATTTCTCTGAGCCTCAAGCCCCCTGCAGCAGGTGTTATGTTGAACATTCCTGTTCTCAGGGTTTGTTCTGTACATGATCCAGGTGTTAGTGCCCAAAGCTGTGCAGACAGCACTCGTGTTGCTTTCTCGAACACGTCACATTAATCTGTGTCGATTCCTTGGCAGATGCTGGTAGTCTTTAAGTCGGCCCCAATCCTGAAACGAGCTCTGAAGGTGAAGCAGGCCATGATGCAGCTCTACATCCTCAAACTGCTGAAAATCCAGACCAAATACCTGGGGCGGCAGTGGAGAAAGAGCAACATGAAAACCATGTCTGCCATTTACCAGAAGGTGCGGCACCGCATGAACGACGACTGGGCTTACGGCAACGGTGAGTGGTGCCAGGGAAGCATCCGCTCTGTGCAGAGCCGAAATCGGCACGAAGGGGGTTTGACATATTTTGGGCTGTGACCTGTTAGAATCCCATTAATGTGTTTGGGTCAGTATTGGGGATTTTTCTCAGAAGTTTTTAGCACCATCAGGAGGGAACAAATTGATTGCATGGGGAGAGGTGGGAATAATCAGATCAGGATGGGACGTGGTCAGCTTCGGTCTCCAAAATGAGTTTCCACCGAGCCCAGACCTGAACTTTTGCATTCCCAAATCTCTTTTGCTGTTGAGACACTAAACTGTCCTGGTATCTGCACCAAACATGTGTGCTTAGGATGGCTGTGGAGTGAAAAATCTGACTGACAGCTCTGCAGCTCACACCTGAGAAACACCAGCGGTTACATCCCAGCGGAGCAGACACTCTGAATCCTTAAGCTGAACCACAGACTAGACGAGCCGGTCTGTTTAAACAGCTCTGTGTAGTCTAAATCTGTATTTTCTGAGGGATGTTGTGAAGTTTCTGATGTTCCCCGTGTATTAATCTGTGGGATGCATCAGACCACATACTCTTGTTCCCTTATAAGAACATTCAGTTGCTGCAACAACTCACCCAAGCTTAGGACAAGAAGAGAAAGTATTAAAATATCTTTTTGCCTTAATAACACAGTCCTAAGTTTTTGTTCTGCATGTATCTCCTTTTTAATGAGTATTAAGCAGAAAAATTGGGTAGCATTCCTGTTTCAAAAGAAAACAGGGCAAGAAGTAAAAGCCTAACTTAACTTTTTTACAAGGGAGAAAGGTGCTATAGAATTATGTTAGGGTGTTCAACTGTAAAATATAGAATCCATTTTTTTAAGATTTATATGCTTTTGATAGTCATGGTACTACTATTGACACTAATTCAGAAGAACCAAAAAACTAGACTCAATATTTTTAATTCCACTTTAGGGCTAGTGGAGTTCCCCCAGTAACCAAAGAGCAGGAAGGCGGGAAGACTGGGGACTCCCTTTCTTTTACGGGGATTTTTATCCTGTCACTGTCTTTCTCAGCGTGCTGACTGTTCCATGTGGGACTGAATACGGCAGCAGGGCTTCTTTATTCCACTAACGGGATACAGGATACTGCCTGCCTTGGGTAGCTTACATAGCTTGAGCACTACACGCTCCAAACCAGCAGAAGACCTACGTCACCTGCCCTGGAGAAAGGGTTCATCTTAACCAGTGAATTTACCTGTACCAAGTATTGAGAATGACGCAATTTTAGGACAGATGCAAAGGATAAATTTTTGTGTGTGTCCCACTTCCCCCTTAGGAGTTAATCAACAACATAATGCAACGCTCGATCGCACAATTTATGACTCAGCAGAGACTGCATCTTGACCTGGACAGTCTGCCAGGGAAGCGCTTGGCTTTCGGAGACACGATCTGGAAGGGTTTTTCCTGGAGTGTTTATTTTTATCTGGGTGTATCTGGGTTGATACTCAGCTCAGACCTTTCCCTCCCTTGAGCACTGCTGAGCTTTGCCAATGAATTTACTGAACCTTTATGATGCGAATGACTATTTCTTATAGATTTAGAGTTCAGAAAGGCCAACTTTCAAAATACTATATACTTTTTAACATGTTATATATTTAACATAATATTGCATCCTTAAAATATTGTGGTTATTACAGCCAGTTATTAGATTTTCAACATCATTCATAGTTAAATTTGTCCACATTTTAAAAAAACTCTGTTTTCAGTAGCTCGTAATAAGCTCACCAGGTTTTAGCTACATACATTTAATCTTGATCTCTGCTTCAGACGTCTGTGGAGATTTTCAGTAAAAGGGGTGGGGCCTCTCTGAAAAAAGCAGGAGGTTGGTAATTATAGAGAGTCCTTAAAGCACACAACAGAGCAGAAATAATTGCAATTCTGTAGGAAGCTTTTGGATTCTGCCTAATTTGCAAATAATTTTAACATACTTTATTAACATACCTTAAATTAAAATGTGTACATAATGGCAATTAATTAGGAATAATAATTAGGAATAACTGACTGGATAATACTCTGGTCAATTCAGACGTGGTTGCTGTAAAATCTTCAGCCTTTCCCTTGCTCAAACCTTATCAGAGTTACTTTTTCCACAATCCTTTGGTCTTGTTTCGTCTCCAATGTAGATATTGATGCCAGACCGTGGGACTTCCAGGCTGAAGAATGCACCCTGAGAGCCAACATCGAAGCCTTCAACAGCCGCAGATACGACAAACCTCAAGACTCGGAGTTTGCGCCAGTGGACAACTGCCTGCAGAGCGTGCTGGGACAGCGGCTGGACCTCCCCGAGGACTTCCACTACTCCTACGAACTCTGGCTGGAGCAGGAGGTGTTTTCCCAGCCCATTCGCTGGGAGGAGCTGCTGCACTACCAGTGAGAGTGACACCTTCATCTGCCCCCGGTCCCACCTCGATAAGGACTCAAGGTGCTACAGGCTGGGGAAAGGAGGATTATTTTGGACCTGGAAAAAAATGTCAGTCTTCCCAAAGAGACCAAGCCTCTCTGTCTCCACCCAGACACCCCTGTGTACACAACTGCCATCTTTTTGGAGGTCATCCCTTTCCTGTGACTTCATGGACACCATCCAGTGTAAACAGAGCTGCACAGAAGCCATGGACCGGGTTCTAGTTCCACGCTAGTGGCAGTGTCAAGAGTGAGCTCCTCTGGTCTTAGTTCAGAGTGACACCAGTGTACAAGAGATCAGAGGCCAGGTCTGTCTCTTAACTTGGCTCAGGCGTGTAAGTTTGTGGTAAGAGTATCTCAGCTGTAAAGGTTTTCATCTCTCCCAAATGCCCCATGCTGTGCCTGATTTTTTTTCATTTATAGCTGTCTGTTAACATGCTTCAAACACCCTACTGCCATGAACAAGCTGCCCTGGTTCCCTGATGAAGATGAAGAAATGCCTGGCGCTGCCCGTAACAGTCTCAAGCCTTGGTGACAGGCTGATTCGGCCAAAGGAGATGACATTACCTCTTGTTCCTGGGCTGGCGTTGCTGCTGCTGGGATCACACAACCCCATTTACAGAGGCTTGCTTCCAAAGTTGACCATTTTTGCACCAGGGATAGTAATCCCTTTTCCACCGCTCCCCTTTCCATCACCACTCTGGTCACTTACCGTTTGTATTAGAGTCAAATGATCAGGAAGCTGTGCAGTTGAGAGCTGTAGAGGAGGTTGATTGCCACATTTCTCTCCCCCTGATTGTTTTTGAAGGATAATTACTACAAAGTTAGGTTTCCAGATAGCTTTCTTCATTGCTCTTTAGTCCTTCTAACCCTGGGGGAGACGGTAAATGCCACATTAAATGACCTAATTTTTACACAGTTTTGGTTAGGCCATACTGTTACCGATACATCAAGCACACAAGTGGTAAAACCACAAATATTTGTTATGACAGGATTTGTGCTTACTGCTGTGGAATTAAACAATGTTTCCTCAATGTGGCTTGTAAAAGGCCTTTTTCAAAGAAACAGTATTAGTAAACCCGCTCACCTTTTAAAATATGCTTTTGTTCAAAATAAAACAGCAACTTTTAAAGCATATACATTTACTTAAGCTTTATTCTTCCTGCACCTTAATTTAAACACTGCCTTTGCTGTTTTTATCTAAAAAGGACAAAAAAATCCCCCACAAACCAACTCGTAAGCTCAGCTCTCACCTCTGCCCATGTCTACTCTCCCACTGCTGAGGAAAGGACATTTTGGATGTTCTATTCTGATGTATCTATAGAAATCTAGAAAAGAAAAACAGAATTATGGGCTGTAGATGTCTTCACAAGTGTTTGTGCTTGTTTAAAAAGTAAAAAGTTATTTAAAAATAAATAACTCCAAGCAGTAAGGCAGGAAAAACAGAAACATACAATCCATAATGGAAGCATGGTGCTGTCTTTAGGGGAAAGCTCTGTATGTCCGGACAAGTCATTTCAGCATCTGTACCTCAGCTCCCTTTCTGAAATATGGCACCTAGCATTTCCCCGTGTTCCCTAGAGCCTGCTGGCAGTAAAGAAACTAAAGATTAAATAAACACAAATAAATTAACAAACCCCAGCTAAGGACGGCAGACATCTGAAGGGTCTGTTAAATATTTAAGTAGTAGAAATGCAGCATAAATACTGCTTTTTTTCAGCAGGTACTAGGGTCCAGAGCCCACGACTGGCTGGAAAGTTCAGGATTTTCTCTGTGATGTTTTGTCTCATATTTTCCTACCAAATGTGTGTTTTCCCCCTCAGGCCAGGGTCCTGGGAATTCAGCTGTTCCTTTGCAGGTATCGCGTATCCTGACACAAGGGACACCTCTCTAGCACAGTTGGTTTCTTTTTTTTTTTCTTCCTTCACATGGTGACCCCACAGTGAAAGAGCCTGGGTGGTTTTGTTTCTGGGTAACCATGTTACACCCCTTGCTTTATGCTTCCTCCAGTATTGTCTGGTTTAGAGTGATTTAGAAAACAATCTAATCCCCCAAAAACTAAGTGTGTGTATACAGGAAGTACTATCAATGCATCCAAATCCTTTTAGTCTTTAATAAACTATGGTCATGAAGGTAAGTGTTTCAAGAGGACAAGGGAATGAATGAATTATTAAACAATCAGAAACTCAGACAAGCCCTCGGTATTTGGCTCCAAACTTCGACGCAGACCGCCACCACCCCCGCGC